CATGTAACTACATGTTACTATAGTAATGTATAGTTATGTATACAGTCTGTTGAACAGATCTGATGTAACTTAATACATCATAAATTTGACACCTTCAAGGAAAGGATCAATGGCCTTCATTAAGCTGCGATTGCAAAATCAAAACAAAAAGAAATTACTTTAGTACAAATCAACAAATTTGAATAAAAACATCAAAACACTCATAAATCACCAAACATTATTAAGAGATCGAGAGATAGAGAGAGAGGTTATTGCTGGGAAATGCAAAAAAATATAGAAAATAAATCCGAAAAGATAAAAATAAACGAAATTACCATCAAAATATAGATCCCGACGAGAGGAATCCAACGGTGGATGACCCGTCAAATTTCGACGGGTGGAACACAAAATAAAGCTCCGGCAAGACCACCGTCTTCGAATGAAAAAAAATTGCAGAAACAGATCCGCGCTCGAAACTGAATGAAATCACCGCCAAAAGAAAGAGCTCGACAAGAGGAATCCAACGGTAGTTAAACCATCGAATTCCGAGCACCGGAGAGAGAGTTATGGCTCCGGGAAGCAATTTCGCCGGTGAGAGGTTTGTAGAGGCGGGATTTTGAATCTGGGAGAAGAAGAGAGAGACCGTGAGTGGCTAGGGTTAAAACTGATTTTAGAAGGGTATTATAGGTACTTCAGGGTAGCCCAGGGGGGTATGTCAAAATATTTTCGAAATGAGGGGGGTTTCACCTAGAGTGTAATCCACTTGGTAGTTAGTTCTATATAATTTGGAAATGAGGGGGGTCTACAAAATAATCCCTTACATTTAATGGATTTCAACCATACATTTGATTAAATAATCATAGATATGGATGTGTGTTAGATCGATAAGATTGATTTTATACAACTGTATTTGTATCCTAGTTGTCAATCCTTTTCTATTGAAGATATTTTAATACGTCGACCGTTTTGTTTGATTATCAGGGATAATATAAATGGTTAATATGCTAGGAGTCCCTCAAACCAAACCTAATTTGAACTAAATGACAAGTCCAAATTTATTCTCTTAATTAAATCCTTAATTTAAAATAATATATGAGTCACATCCCTAATATTTTTTATATCCCAATCTTGCCCTTATACCCAAAATCTTTTAAACTAAATATTACGTTTCTTTTTTATCAGATCTATTATTCTTCTTTTTTCTCTCTCTCTCTCTCTCTCTCTCTCTCTCTCTCTCTCTCTCTCTCTCAATCTCACGCTCTCTCTCCCTCAATCTCATATCTCTCTCTCTCTCTCAATCTCCCGCTTTCTCTCGCTCAATCTCACTCTTTCTCTTGCCACCACTCCATGATTGAGGAAGGCGGTGGCTATGGCGACGACCACGGCGGTGGAGGCGGCTGCATATGGAAAACAACTATGACGGTAAGAAAGCTACAACGGTGGGAGGAGGCGTTGTGGTGGCGCGGCGCTGGGTTGTTGTCACAGCGGCGACGCTCGAGGTTCGAGGATGATGCTGGTGGTGCGGTGTTGCTGGGGTAGGCGATGTCGGCGTGTGTGGGGTTGGCGATGGTGGCGTGGATGGGAGTGGGTGACCTTGTCGTCGCAGATCTAGGGTTTGGAGGGTGGATCTAGGGTTTGGTTTGGAAGATTCAAAATTTTTCGATTTGATTTCTGCAGTTGTCTATGAGTTACTATGAGTGTCTGACGGCTAGGGTTCAAAGGAGGAGTTAGGGTTTCATCAGAGATGTCTACGGTTTACTATGGTTTTCTATGGTATCCTATGGGTGTCTATAGATGTCTATGTCCGATTTTTTTTTTTAAATTTATAATTTTCAATATTATGCAGAAAAAGATATACTTCTATAATAGTGAAAAAATACGAAAATGAAAAAAAAAAAAAAAAAAAAAAAAAAACAAAACAAAACGTAACATAACGTTCTTCTACGTAAAAAAATAATAATAAAATAATGTTAGATCCAAAAGTGAATATGTTAAATAAAGAATAAAAAAATGATAAATACAATTTAAATATTACTTGGTGCATATTTTATATTTTGTGAATGAAGGGCATTTCTAGAATGAAATTTATAAAGGATGTGAAGCAAAAGTTTAATTAAACTTGTCATTTAGTTCTAATAAATTTTGTCACCAGGGACCTATATCTTAAGACCCCTAATATAAATTGGGACAGTTTTTGTTTTTTGGTTTAAAACCCTAAATCGATTTAAAAACCCCAAATAATTTAAACTCTAATTCAGTGAAAACTCTTAATTTTAGTTTAAACCCTCAAAAATTCAAAACTCGAAAATTCAATTGAAAACTTTCTTTTATTGCTTTCTGCCGCGGCTCAAATCAAAACTCATCTTCTCCCAGTAACATACATCCATAAACCCTACACCCACATTAATTACTAAATTTAAACTTACAATCGACCCCAAAAGCTTTAAACGAGTTGGGCATTCCTTCCTGTTAGAGAATATTATATTATAGGATATTAGGATTCTAGTATGATTCGGTTACCTAGATTAGTTAGGATTTAGTTACCTAGTCAAACTCTATTACCTTGCATTATTTCTCTATATATATTACATGTAATCAACCCATAACATAATGGAGGTTTCTATTATATCATGTATTATTATTTCTCTCCAATTCTATTCTTTCTATAAACACACCAAATCTTTGTACGAATTAGAGACACATCCAAAGCAAGTAAAAAAACCAACATGAAACAATAAATACCCAGCCACGTCAGCGGGACGATTTCTAACCGGTTAATTATCCACAACCAAGATCCCATCTAGTCAGCTTCCCAATTAGTAACGCTTGTCATCAATTCTTTTTGCCGCCGACAAAAAAAAAATTCACATCTGCATATTTGCACCACCACCATTCTGAGGATGAGTCAACTCACCTCCCGATTTCAAGATTCCACTATATCCATTTCCTCCAAAACCCATCGGTCCATGTGCAGCACCATTTACAAAAGTAGGATACATAGGGGCAACACCTCCGCTGTAAGGGAAGAAACCCCCCCTAAAACCAACCATTGCAGGGGGCCAAGGCCCCCTCGGAGCAATCGGCGCAGACCCATAACCAATTGGGCCGTAACCTCCAAAAGGATACCCCCCACTCCCACCGTAAATTCCAGCTCCATATGAATAATTTACAACATTGCCATACGTGGTGGGGTAGTACCCTACACTTGGTAAATAGCTTCCTTGGTTATAAGAGTTGTTTATGTTATGACCTCTTCCATTATTACTATTGCCACTACCCATAGCACTGTCTTTTGGTACAGCTCGTTTGACCTCCACGAGTTTCCCGGTCAACTCGTGAAATTTCTTGCGCATAACTTCCTCGACAGATTCCTCAGAGTCGAATGTAATAAAACCAAACCCTCTTGGCCTATGGGTCATGTTATCGTGCATGACAACCACATCGGTTATTCTGCCGAATTTTCCAAAGTAAGTCCTGAATTCGTCGTCGGTCAAATTAGCTGATAAACCACCTACGAATATCTTCTTTGTCCTAAAAGTTTCGCTGCTACTATTGTTACTCCTAGTGTTGTTCATAATCAATCCCCGTTGTTGATTTTGCTGCTCGTTCCTCGGAATAGCCCTTTTCACTTCCACCGTTCTACTAAGAATGATATGGGGATTTTGAAGGGCACGATCAACGGCAGAAGATTCAGAGAAGGTAACAAACGCAAATCCCCTAGGTTTACCGGTATGCCGATCCACAGCAATCACAGAGCCCAAAACGACGCCGTATTCAGCGAAATGCTCTTTCAGAATATCGTCAGTCGTTTCCCATGAAATACCCCCAACGAACAGCTTGTTCGGCTCGGCCTCCTCCATACCTATTTTTCCTCAAGCACACTCCTTAACGATTAATTATCCAAATATTGAATTATTTCAACGAATCGGGTCTGTACGAATACCTTCAGGATTGCAACCAAATTATCGAGGAGGAACGACTCGAGAGAGTGAAATGAGGGTCTTTACGAATATTTTTTTCTCGAAATGCTGAGAGAGAAAGAGAGTGCAACTTTTTTTTCTGTTTTTTTTCTTTGTCCGGATGCATGTTTTTAACAGAAAACATAACACATTTAATGTTTTTGACAGTTATTAACATTGACTGGGTTACGAAAGAATACAAACACACTATCACAATTTATAGTTAATCGCATTTTGGATTGGAACCCATAGCCCAGAGGGTTTAACTGTTACTTGCCCCTAAGATAAATTAGTTTCTGAGGGATCTATTATCCAACAATCCGAAATAAATATTTATAGTCGGTAACGCCCAATATATAATTCGGAAATCAATTAATCAAGTCACCCAACTTAATGAAAAATATCTAGGTTTATCACAATTCTATAGTGGGGGAGTGGGCATTTGTTGGAATTTTAAATTGAACCCTTCACTTATAAATTGCATGTTACCCAACCAGTTGTAGAAATAAATCAATAATATCTTATGCCCAAAAAAGGAAAGAAACAAAAACAATAATGGATGAGTTGTATGTAGAAGCAACTTTTTTAGTCTCAATTCTTTTGATGTCCATTTTTTGGTACATCAAATCCTCACTAGCATCAAGAGAAAGAAGATTCAGAGTATTCAATTAGCCATACACAAATCAAGGCCATATTTATGGTAATTAACTATACCTTTAGTTACATTTGCTGTTAAATTTGATTTATTAAATTGATGAGTTTAGTGAATTTTTTAGGGCTTAATCCCTTCAAAATTATAAAAAAAAAAAAATGAAATTCACACACCTATCTAATTTGAAATTGAAATACACATAATGGACGGCGTTTTCTCAATAGAAAATTTAATGTTTTTATAGACATGTAATGTGAATTCCAATTTTACCCTTCATTCTAAAGAAGTTTCTATAATCCACCGATTTGGAACTCTGCACCCTCAAAACACAATAAATCATTCACAATACACCTTGAATTGAATAATAAAGGCAATTTCATTTTTCATTGGTTTTTTTTTCGGGTGCAAAAAAAGAAAAAAAAGAATTGTTATTTTCTTGAACCCCCAACCTAATTTCGAACTGACAAAGTGCAAAAAAAACTATATTTTCTTACAAATATATTTTCTTACAAAAAAAAAATAAAATAAACTTTTATCACTAAATTATTCGATTGATGGATCCTTTATTGTAACTGATTGAAAAATATTAGGTAAAAATATTTGAAAGAAAATATGATTTTCAAATAACTGTATGTTGATGAAATTTATTTTTATTTTTGCACTTTATAGTTTCAAAATGATTGATAAATAAAACAAAATATTTGACATTTGCCATCCTAAAAAAATATCACTAAAAATATTAAATTACATTTTTTAGCTTTAAATATTTATTTGGGGTGCATTATGTATGATTTATTGTGTTTCGATGGTGCAAAGAGCTATTAATTTGTTTCGAGGGTAAAAAGTGCCGAAATAGTATATTTCAATGGTGCAAAGTAGAATTAAGCCATTTATTTAGCGCACAACCCCCCTGAATATTAAGTTGTTACTATTTTGCCAACACGGTGAGTATTTTTTTTAATAATTAGAGAAAACACAGGGTGCTGAATGCAATTAACCCTTGACTAAAAAATTCTTAAGATTGTTTTTTTCATCAAATTATAGGATATCTTGGCAGGCGGGACCGACACTACCAGTACGACAATCGAATGGGCAATGGCCGAGCTAATGAACAATCCAGATGTAATGATGAAAGCGCAAAAAGAATTATCCGATGTCGTTGGATTAAACACCATGATTGAAGAGTCCCACACGCCAAAATTGAAATACGTGGAAGCAGTTGTGAAAGAAACATTGCGTTTACATCCGGCGGTACCTCTACTTGTTCCAAGGTCTCCAGCACAATCTTCGACTGTCGGGGGATACACTATCCCGGAAAATTCAAAGATATTTATAAATGTATGGTCGATTCAAAGAGATCCTTCGATTTGGGATAATCCATTGGAATTTAGGCCGGAGAGATTCCTTGATGATGATGATGAGAATAACGAGAGATGCGATTTTAAAGGTAACTATTTTCATTATCTTCCGTTTGGATCCGGAAGAAGGGTGTGTGCCGGTGTTCCGCTTGCGGAGAGAATGTTGACTTATTTGTTGGCTTCGCTTTTGCATTCTTTCGACTGGAAATTACCGCTAGGGGAAAAAATTGATATGTCGGAGACATTTGTGATAGCGTTGAGGAGAACTAAACCATTGTTTGGTATTCCTAGTCCGAGGCTAGTTAATTCAAACTTATACATGTAATTCCATGTAGTGGCGGAAACAAGATTTTATGTTTCTCATGATTTTGTGTTTAGATTTCAATAATTTTCATAAGAAAAATAAATTGAGTGGGAGGCTTATTCAACTCTTGCAAACATCTGTATAGTTGTGATTTTTTTACCATAAACACTGTTAAAAGTACTTTTACCATAAACATTGTTAAGAGATGTAATAATAATTATTAAGGTTCTAGAAAAAATATGTCATGTAGTGTTGGACGTAAAAAAATGTAATGCATGAATTTTGAGAATTAGATCTATCTGAAGCATTTTAAATCAAAAAATTTTGGGTTGAAGATGAAATTATAAAATTTCAGAAATTTAAAAAGTTTATAAATATTAGAGTTAAATACAGCTTGCACCCCTGTACTATATCACCAGTGTCGTGTATATTCCCTGTACTACGAAATGCGACAAAGTGGCCCCTCATATTACCAGTCAATTCTCACATCTTTAACACCGTTAGTTTCTAGAGCAAAGTTTCTTTTTTACCCTTACCCATTTTCTAACTTTATAACTTGGCCAATTTTTTGAACGCGTAGAACATAACTTCCCCTTTCGTCTTCTCCACTACGATTGAACATACCATAGACATTTTTGAAGCAATTTGAAGAGAAGTTGGAATAGATAAATGTAAGTTCTCAAATTATCGCTTATTTTTTGGTTCAACCACAGCTTACGCTTTTCGATTAAGTAGTCATTAAAGGATATTGAATTAACATAACAATAATTGATTTTTTTGTCAAGCGTGAGGGCTGCGGATTTAGTTGGTGTATATCAACCCTCGGAAAACGGAAAATCTCAGAGGATTAATAATGAAGATTGCCTTATAACTTCTACAAGACTCGAGGCCGAAGAAGCTAGAGGTGTATTGTACTGTGACATTGGTACCGATGAAATTGATAAGAAAAATCGAGTTAGTGCCGCAGTTGAAAAGCCTTGAAAAAGGGTTTGATTTTTATCGAACCTTGTGTTTCGTAAATTTTAATAATAATAATAATAATGTAGTATGCAGCATACTATGTTTCAGTAGATGAGAAAACATTTTATTCTTGTTTTGGAGCCACAATGTATATACATATATTTGTATTTCTCAGCTATTATTATTAATTTTTTTTATATAAGTTGTTAATTCATTCCAGAATCAACGTTTAGCTTAATTTTATTAAAAATTTACAGTTCAGGAGAGGAGCAAAAGATAAAATCAATTTAGCTTTAACAGAGAGAAAAAAAAAAAAGAATTTAGTCCCACATCGGAAGTTTACTAGTTTTGATAACTATTTATTAACAAAAAAAAGGCATTGTTGTTCTTCGAGCTCAGTCGCGTGAGCTTGTAACCCAAGTGGAGGCAATAATGTGATTGGACATTGGGCTAGCTTGTTTATCTGGGTCATAGTTGGAGGTTCACAGGCCTGCCCGGTCCAAGTGGGGAGTTGGGTCATGTGGCTCGGGGGAGGCTCGGATCGCTTGGCTCCTAGAGTGGAGGGCAACGCGCTAGGCTGGCTTCACAGAGCAGCGAAAACTTCCCTGTCTCTACAGCTAGCCCAAATTGGACAATCACTTTTTTTGAAAAACAGAGCAACGAAAACTTCCTGCCGGTCTCTACAGTGGAACGAACGCGCTAGGCTGGCTTCACAGAGCAGCGAAAACTTCCCTGTCTCTACAGCTAGCCCAAATTGGACAATCACTTTTTTTGAAAAACAGAGCAACGAAAACTTCCTGCCGGTCTCTACAGTGGAACGATTACAGGCTGCTTGCTTTCTTGTCCCACTAAAAGCTAAATGGGCTTCCCCAAATTGGACAATCACTTTTTAAAAAAAAAAACTTCCCAATCTCTATAGTGGAAGGATTACAGGCTGGTTGTTTTTTTGGCCCACTAAAAGCTAAATGGCCTAGCCCAAATTGGACAATCACTTTTTTTTTTTAACTATATTTTCCTCTAGTTTATTTAAATAGAGGAAATGTCCAATATACGATGATTTAGTGGTTAGTTTTTTTTATAACTCGAATTTTGCTTGTGTCTTGCACAGATGGATTTAAAAAAAATGAAAAAGAGAAATAAATGTAAGTTATTAGAAAAATAATATCAACAGTTAATAAAGATCATGTTCAAAACCAAATTATACTAATTCTATAATTGCAATCATAATATAAATATCTATTTTCGAAACAAAATTTAATACACATACCAATATACGTCTATATACCGGGGGAAAAAAGAGAGAATCGACTTACTATTATTTGTGGCGTTGCAATTTTACAATCAACAACAGAACATGCAACAGGTTTAGATACAAGAGTCCAAGTATAATTATCATGCAAGAATTTCATTTGTTCATGCACGGTAGATAACTAATTAGTAGATTCTTTAGAGTCTAAAGCTTCTTTATAGGTCTTATGTTTATTTCCATCTAGGTTCTCAAACACATCGAAAACAAATGAAGCAAATTCATCAAGATACTGAAGTTTTCTGGCCCCTCTCCTAACTCTATCCCTAACAAGTTGTTAATCATGTAAGTTATCATTCATATGAGGTAAATTAGGTTAATCATTATGATCATACACATTATCAGATGGCACATAAGGTTCATCTTCACTATCAGATTCATCAGGCTAGTTGCTCCTAGTTGAAGTTGTTGGAATCTCCACCTCATTTGAGGGAGACTCAATAACTACTACATTAGGAGTAGGCAAACAAGAGAATTCAAATTCATTAAATATCACATCTCTACTAATGATAACTTTATAACCTTGTTCCCTTTCAACCAGCATCTAGACTCCTTCACACCCTCAGAGTAACGAAAGAAAACACATTTAGCATATCTAGGATCTAACTTATCGTGTTTCTTATGCACATATGCAGTACAACCAAACACTCGTAAGTGTGACAAACTAACAGGTTTACCACACCACACAGTTTCATGCAAATATCCACTTAATGGGACAAAGGGGATCTATTAATGAAACGAGCAGCAATTAAGAGGGCTCCACCACAAAACAGTTTAGGGAAACCAGAGAAATTCAACATAAATCTAATGAGATAATAGCACAGATCCCCCTGTGTTATTTCTAATTGGTGAAAAACACCTCGTGTTAAAAATATTAGCAAAAAACCCCCTATATAGTGTTTTGCATAGCACACCAGCCCCTATTTCGAAATTGAATGTTGACTTCTATGAAATGACTGAACTACCCTTACAAAAGAAATATTAAAAAAAAAAAAAACCCTAACAAAACGCTAAAATCAACTGCAACAAAACCCAACCCATGTCTTCTTCTCCAACGCTACGGAAAAATAATGTCCATACCTCATATCTTTCCACAATCAAATCTCGGCTGACGGGGAAGATATACAATATGAAACCACCTCTTCCACTCTCCGACGAGCGGTCCAACACTACCGTCAAGATAGATGGGCGGGCGGGGAAAGAATTTCGAGAATTTGGCGGTGGAGGGTCAGGGTGTCTGTGGCGTGGCGAGAAGAGCGGAGGAGGCGGGTGGTAGAAGAAAGGGGTACCGGCGGCGGCGTGAAAAGGGGATTGCCGGAGGTGGTATTGTGAGTTTGGTGGTGGTGGTAATTTCAATGGGTAAGAAGAAGAATTTTAGGGAGGACATGTTCTTTCTCTCTGTTTGAGGCGGTAGCTTGACGAGGTGATTGCCGGTGGTGGTGGTGGTGGTGGAGGTGGTGGTGGTGTTGGTGGTGTGCTGGTGGTCTCGCACTCTCGCTTCAACAGGGGGAAGAAATTTTGGGGAAGATCAATTTCTCTCTGTTCTTTTACATAAAAATATATGTTATTTTTTTTATTTAAGAAATTTTAAAAATTGTAGTTTGATCCGAATTTTTGGGTTATTTATATTTAAATCAAATTGGAATTTTTCTTTCTTTTACAAAAATAATCAGAGGGTATTTTCGAGTTTTCAAGTAAAAATACACATTCCTACTCGCGTTATTCGCGCGTGCAATGTACGTTGAGCTGTTAGGGTTTTTTTTGGCTTTGACTTATTTTCATAGGGGGGTATTTGCTAATTTTTTTAACACGATGAGGTTTTTAGCAATTAGAGATTATACAGGGGTAGATTTTGCAAAAAAACCCTAAATCTAATCCTATCAACCAAAGTTCTATTCATCTTCTCAGAAACACCATTTTGTTGAAGGGTGTATGCAATAGTTATATGCTTCTTAATGTCAAAAATGCAGTATACGTATCATCAAAGTCATGATTACAAAACTCACTACCATTATTAGTTCTAAGTGCCTTTATTTTCTCTCTAGTTTGATTTTCAATAAGGGTTTTCCATGCTCTAGAATTTTCAAACACATCAGATTTATGCTTAAGCAAAAAACAAATATCTTTCTAGAATAATCATCAATCACAAAAAAAAAAAAACAATTGTTTCCACTATGAGTGGGATACATCAACATGCAAGTGTTTAAGTATCTCAGTGCACTTAGAGGGATTGGGGAAAGTGGAGATGGGGAATTGGACCTTAGTCTACTTCCCCATTATGCAGGCATGTCAAAAACAAAGCATTTTCCAAAATAACTGTTCTTATACAAAATTTCTGGACCCTTATCACCAATATGACCTAATCTCTTATACCATACATTAGTTTTATCATGTTGCACATAAATCACAGAAATGGGAGTTGCAACATACATGTTCTGCATTTTAATACCTCTAAAGGCTAGCATACTTCCCTTCATAATTTTCATAATGCCATTTCCCCATTTACCATTAAAACCAGATTCATCAAGAAAAGCACAAGACATCAAATTACAACTTAATTCAGGAACATGTCTCACATTTTCAAGAGTTAATTAGGTAACCAGTATCAAATTAAGACAGACAGTTCATATGTCATGCACATGTCTCATAGTACTATCAGCCATAGAAACAGATGCTCTATCAAGTTCAGCATATGAAGAAAACATGAATTTGTTTGATTTCATGTGATGTGAGCATGCAGAATCAAGCAATCAGTCATCTTTATGCACAAAGGTTATCCCAGAACTCACAGATGCAAACTGAGAATCAGAAACTAAACACATAACTCACATTTGCACTCACTTGATTAGCATTATCATTATTATGATCTTTCTTAGGCTTAGTACACATATTAGCATAATACACAGTTCCATTGCAGTTATAATATCTTTTTCTTCTGGCCTGGATTTAGACCTACTTCTACCTTTGCCTTTCTGATTACTCCGAGGGCCATGCTTTTGGTTATTAGAACTTGTAGAGTTTTATCAAAAGTTCTGGACTTTTTATCTTTCCCTCTCAAAGTTCACCTCACCCTGAGACTTGCCACCTCTAATATTCTTTAAATCAAGTTTTTTGCTTTTGAGACCATTAATAACAGTATCTAGAGACACTTTATCCTTACCATACTTAATAGCAGATTTGACATCACTATAAGAGTCAGGAATAGCATTCAAAACTATAATAGGAGTATCATCATCAATGTTCTTATCTCATGTTAGTTTTATATCCAGAACCAGTTTAGTGAAGCTATCAAGATTCTCATCAATATCTTTATTAAGGTCCAATTTATATCTGAAAACTCTTTCAAGCCAGAATATTTTAGAAGGAAGAGAAGTTTCAGTGTGTAATTCTTCAAGTTTTTTTCCCCAAAGCCTTAACACTAGGGTGCTTGCCTAATTTTCTAATCATAAAATCAGACAGATTTAATATAATCAGAGAATATGCAAGTTCATTACATTCAGATTTTACTGGCATCTCAAGTGGCTTCATAAAACATAGTAATGGCCTTAAAATATTTCTGTTGGACAAGTATACCTTTCATCTTTTGTTGCCAAATAGAAAAATCACCACCATCAAAGGGAGCCATCACATAAGCATTCATTTTCATATAGGCACACAAAATATCACAAAAGACAGACAATATCTGAAAGAGAGCAGGCAAGACCACTCAGGGTCACAAGTAGTGTCAGACAGGGCATAAGCAAGACCACACAGGGCCAACAAATAATACCATACAGGCTCAACAGCAAGACCACACAGGGTCAACAGTATAAACGAAAGCAGTAAATTCCAAAGCCCAACTCACCCGACCAACCCCCCTCCCACATTCCTAAGACTCAAAGCGGTCCGGACAAGGAGGTTTGTGTTAGAGTAGGTGACTGAAGAGACAACTAATTGTTGTATTTTCTCACGCTACTAGTAAATAATCTATTTCGTATTATGATAAAAACCCCATTTGGCATTCTATATCTTTGTCCCTTGCATAAGCATAGATGTAGTCCTTACAGTTACTTTATTACTATAAATAGATCTAGTAGAATTGTGAGATTATATATTGAAGTATAGTAACAATTAAACATAGTTCCTAGTCAACGGGTTACGCCACTAATGAGGACATCGGCCTTTCCCATTCAAGACTAGCCCTTAGTGTATGCGTAGTGCATCTCATCAGTCAACGGTGTTGTGACATCGGCATACATAAGTGGGTGCTCATAAGTGAATGAGTTCACCGAACTCCCTCAATCTAGAGATCTATAAGTGGTTCCCAATAATCGAGTAGAGGTTTCTATGATATAGTTGTACACCATTAATGTTGGGGATCGTGCATGTATACACAGCGGAATTTAAATTTTTTTAGATAGAACTAGTTTCGATTACATGCATAAACTAATCACATAGCCAACGTACCTTAACGCTTCGCCATACACATGGTAATTATCGATTTTTATCAAAACATGTAAAACCGAAAAATATAAAACATGCTAGTTCACACAATTTCATAAATCATGATAACAATTAATTCACAACATCAACATGCTCGCAAATAAATCATAAATCCAAATTTATAATATATTACGAGAGATTTCGGTTTACCTTTTGAAGCGTGGGATTTCGACGAATCGAAATCTAGAACCGAACACGTACAAGCTGCGAATTACCAATCCTCGGGGCAGCAACTCACGGCTGGAGCAAGCTGGTCCAGCAGATGGCAGACGGCGGCGCGTGGTAGACACGGTGGCGGCGCGTGCGACTCACGCAAAAGGCGCGTGCTGCGTAACGGCGGCGCGTGCGACTTCGGCGGCGGGGCAGCGGTCTTCCTCTCCTCCAATCAGGTTTCACCTCGTATATTTTGACCTACTCGAAATACAACACTAGATATAAACGAGTTAGATTAACAACAAAGAATAAACGAATGAGTAGAGAGGAGAAAACCGGCGACAAGCGGCGGCGCGGCGGGGCTGCGGCGGCCGAGAGAGCTGGGCGGCTAGGGCTGGACGGCTAGGGTTTTTGAGTGTAAAAATATGATCTCAAACTCTCTTTTGAGGTCTATTTATACTAGGGTTCTCAACCCTAGTGGGCTTAAGTCATTGGGCCTGACCCACTGATCCATTAAGCCCATTGCCTTGTCGTCCTCGTTTCTCACAAACGATCGTTCATAAAAATATAACAAAATTATATTTGTGACGAGCTCAAAGTCCTCGTCGATACGAGTGTCTCTTCGAAATTTCCAATTTCCAAAAGTGGAAACTTCTAATTCAGTGGACCTGCTAAATCGGGAAACTTCCCAATTTAGAAAGTTCACTAAATTCCGCATGTCTCTTTCTCTACGTTCATTCCAATTCGTAATCCACAATTACGAATCTTGGATTCAATCATATTGACATCCAATCGTTCAAAGATTAACATATTAATTATGCTTGTTGTTATCAAGGATCTATATTACACGAGAAGTGTGACCCTCAATGGTTCAGGTGTATGCTAGCCGTGGGCTCACAACTCTTTGTGATTCGAACAACACATTGTTCTCATATGAACTCCTCCCAAGAGTCCCGATTAAAGTAAAACTCATTTTATTTAATCGCCGATCAAATCGGTGCCCAACGAATCAAGATTGGCGCCTAGCAACTACGCATCAGGATTCCTTAGATACAAGTGAATTGCCTGCAAGAACCTTATGATATAGTTAGCGTACAGTAAGATCCCTTCGCAGCACATGTCCCGATTGAACTAGAGGCATTGGTTCACCGAGACCTCTTATAAAGTTCAATAACCGTGCGATGTGTGACTTAGGGAAACACATTTCCCTAATCACCCCACTATCAACTCTGGCCAGATATTCCTTGGATTATAAACCGTCATAACACACAGGACATCCATGACTACTCAAGCGCTCGAATCCCCTACTACAATGCACAGACTTCACACTAGATTTCGGATTGCACGAACGTTGGCCCTTGGAGTGGTCCGTTGTGGGACTCAGGGTCAGGTCACGATACAATCGGTCCTCTAGTGAAGTCACGGTGATGTCTGGGTCTTAAGGACTAATGGTGTACAACTATATCTAGAAACCTATTACTCGATGAATGATAACCACTTATAGATTTCTAGGGCGAGGGAGTTCAGTGAACTCATCTAGTATGAGCACCCACTCAAGTATGCCGATGTCACAACATCGAGGACTGATGAGACGCAGTACACATACACTAAGTGCTAGTCTCAAAAGGGAAAGGCCGGTATCCTCATTATTGGCGTAACCCATCGACTAGGAACAAGGTTTAACAGTTACATTACATTGCTGAGTTATCTCACGATTCTACTAG